TGTACATTTCGCTGACAAACTAGAGAGTGTTCGTACTACTTGACCGTAGCATTCCAGGAATATGTCTATGTAGTATTTATTACATGCTCATCGTCTCAAGAAAATGATCTAGGAAGCAAGCTCTATTCCTTCCGACATATAATCTATTCCTGGTAGTGCTTCCGAAATGAAGTACGTAAAGTTCGCCAAGATAAATGTGTGTCGTACAACACGCAGAAGTATACATTAGGTAACAAAGCCAAGTGGTGGATATTTCACTAAATCACTGCTCTGGTTCGCAATAGATCGAGTCTATTATGATTAGCTTGTCTTTTTGAGCAGTAGGTATTGAACCATCAGCTCATCGATGGCGAGCTCTGATGGATAGGTATTGTTCAGTCATCAGTATATTTGCGATTAAAATGTGTCACAAATTAGTTCGCTTCGCTTACTGTCTCACTAAGTCTCCTCAAAATCCTTCTGCGAGTTCGCTGGCGAGAACGACAGCCTCGTTTGGATGTTTTGGTCAGCAGCCAAGCGTGCGTCACGGCGACGACGATAACGTCGCTGGATGGATGCACGTCTTAAGCGCTCTCGCTCCACCTTCGAGGCGTATCGGCCCATCACGGACCGGTAGAATCGGCCATCGTCAGCCCGTAGTGGGTTGGTGTCAGTGTGGAAGTTTGCTAACGTAAAGCACGTTCGAGCAAACGAGTCAAACGACGACTTGCTCCACTTGAACGTGCTGTGCATGATTTTCCACAGGAGGCACACGCGCCCGAAAAAGTTCTCCACTAGCACTCTGTCCGACGAGGCCCGATCATTGCGAGCGAGCTCATCCGACGTCAGCTCGCCGTTGCGTGACTTTTTCTTAGGGTGGACCACTTGCAGCATTGTAGCACCGCCTTGATACCCTTTGTCAGCGAGTATCGCCCACGCTTCTTGGTACAGCTCGGAGCCTTCGCCATTGTCTTCAATGAGCAGCTCTTGATTGCTCTTCTTGACCAGACGCTGATGATCGGTCATGTGATTGGTCATAATGGTGATGTCAGAGACTGATCCGGGCGTGTGATTGGTCAAAAACACTACACGGCCAGGAAAAGCCACAGAAGCTTCAACCTTAAAGCCGTGCAACTTGTGTTTATTGGAAAAGTAATGTTTGGCCTCGCTGAAACTTCACGTCGGTGGTGTATAAGGCGTAGAAGTAGTTTCAAAAGGTGGCACTGTTGGCACGCTGGTTGGCGATCGATGGTGGACGGATAAAAGCCTCGCTAAGAACTGGCGTCACAATTTCCAGCACACGATGCATCATTTTCTCGAACGTGGGAGTCTCGACCCGAAGTCCATGGCGTGCTTCTGCCACGTACCGTAGTGCTTGAGAACGCAGATCAGCACCATGAAAGCATCGTTCGGGGTGGTGACGGATTTGCGTCCGCGCCCGGAAACCCAGCGACTCGTGAGCTCAGGCTCGACATGAGCCCACATCAGATGAAACTCCGTGAGAGTGAAGTTGGTCAGTGTGACCAAAGCGTCTGACCCACCGCGCTCGATATAGCGATCCAAGAGTGATGGGTCAGACTCGGTGCACGCGTCGTTGTCGTCCTCGTCGCTGCCTCGCACTTCGTTGTGGGCGACATCGTCGTGGACTAAGGCGTTGTCCTCGGCGAAACGCCGCAGAAGCTCTGCAGCAGGAATGGGGGTGGCACTTCGAACCATTAGCAGTAGATTTCCGAATGAGACTTCGAAAACTTGCCCAACGCTTCCGTCAGAGCGCTGTCTACCAACCAACAGATTGGTTGGTGACCATTTGATCCAGCAAAGTAGCTGCTGACAATTTGCTGTGTTCAGAAAGTAATACTGAATCTCAAACTATTTGGAAAGTGCTCCATTCAGGGAAGGGGTAACTGGTCATTTTGTGGATAGTTCGTAAAATACACAGTTATACTTTTGAACTGTCCAGAATTGACTTGTTTGTCACAGTAACGCATCAGCTGGTAGGAAACTGGTATTTGGGGTCTATTTTCTAAGCTGGACAGGTATTAAACTATGATATATTTTTGCCCTAATATTCCATAGGATGAGTTTAGGCTTACAGTCGCCGAAAAACGCGCTCATGCCGAATTAGCTCAGCAATCTCGGGGGTTGGACAAGAAGGCGGGCGCTTAGCTCGCGTAACATGAAGGGAAGGGGGGTAGAATTTGGCTTGCAAACTGCACGCTAAGACCTGTGTATTTAAAATGTCAGATCATTAGTTCCCTGCTGATGCTGGACGCTTAGCTCGCTAAATATGAATGAAAAAGGTAACCAGGCAGTCGCGGGGGGCGGTATCCAGGCCATCACCGGTGATTGATATGACGGAAGCGTATCCTGACGGGTATTAATTGTGAATTTGAAAAGAAAAAAGACCACCCGGTTGATGCTGGACGTTTAGCTCGCGTACCATGAAATTATTGTGCGTTCAATTGTAGACTCAAGACACTTCTTTCCTTTTCACTACCGGTACGAGACTGGTTTTCCCTCACATGCTGTATTACTCTACCGAATTGAACATTTACGCTACCAGCCCAGTCCGCTAGTAGTCCTAATTCTGAAAATGTGTAGGTACAAGTATCTGGTAACACTTAACAATTCTATTTACTGCTAGTTTAAGCTCATACTAGTATAATCTATGTATATGACTTCTACGGTCCTTTAAAAAAATTAACAAAAGTTTTTTTTTTTAAGAAAACCTCGTGTGTTTGATTGTTCCATATTCAGTTTCTTACGTATATGATATTAAAAGAGCTAAAAAAATAGTACGTACTGCCCTCAGAAAAGGTACAAAACACCCTTTTGAAGTTTTCAAAAGTAGATTACCTTGGGATTCGAAAAAACAATCTTGACAATGCCGTGTTGCACACGGGGAAGCTCTGGGTTTTCTTACGAAAAACATCCTACCGTAAATATCGGCCCCAGTGCGACATCATTTTTTTGGTCAAAGTCAAGACAAATTTAAAACCTCGCTAAGGTTTTTAAATGACCCCTTTTAATGACATCCGTCCTAAGCAGGCGGCAGATCCTCTTTTAGAGATCTGTCTCTGGACGATGTGCCATCCATAAAAATGGGAACGTCGCACTGGACCCGTTTGTCGCACTGGGGCCGACTTTTACGGTACTTTACCGGTCCGCTAATGAATGGCCCGTTCATTTAACTTGCGATAACTTTAAGGCTGCCGAATAAATGCAGACGGAGCGAGTTTCATGGTAAATCAGAAATAATCAAAATCAAACTTTAAAATATCCTGAAGAAGTAGGAAAAAGAGCTTCGAAAAGCAATCTGATTCATCGAAAACAGCCAATCCAGCTTGACATACAAATCGTCTAGCGATGCATTTTTATCGAGATACAATCTATTGTACTGAGGAAGCGGATAACTGGGCCACAATTTGTATTGCAGAGTTTTTTTAGAGGCACTCCGAGACATGCTCTTATCAATACGTAGGAATTCAGAAGAAGAAAGCCTGTTTCATTGCGTGAATGCAGCACAGATGCGCCGCCAATGCTCTATACGCCGACGCTCTGTGTGGAATGCCTCTGCGACGGTGCACTTCACCTTCATGTACCTGATGCCGAGCATTGCATTTAGCAGAATTATGGTAATAAGTTACCTTACAGAACTCGGCACAGCGCTTGCAGATTCGCTATGACATTGCTGCACAACAACGTGAAGGTTCACCCCGCCATGCACTCTACACTTTTCAGGGATCCTATTTACTAAAAATATATTTTTTTCGTTAGAAAATAATTTACTTATGGTTTGGCCACAATTTGAAAATTTATTTTTGGATTTATGAATTCCTACACGAAATTTATAGTCCTTGTTCGGCAGCCACCAGATTTTCGTTGGCTCTGAGCTGTCTGCAAACTTGTGCCGCCGACTCAAACTCTTTTTAACTCGCACACAGCCCAAACTACCAACTCTCGCAACCTTCGCCATGTCCGACGCTTCCCTGATGCCTTCCCAGCACTCGAGGAGCATGTTTTCCCCAAAGCCATTAATCTAGTAACACGATCAAGTTTTGATGCAGATACTGTAGTATTTATTTGCCACAGTTGCAGCACAAATTATTTATTTGCAGATTTCCGATCTACCATGCAGGTATTTATTCTCATTAAACGACGAAATCCATATAAATTATATTTTGAGCAACCCTGACACTTTCTATAATACCATGTTTTAACAGGCCCCACTGTGGGGCCCCCACATTGTACATGTATAATTCTTGTAGGGTGCTGTCACTGTCCCTTCGAAGTGTTGCAGAGCAGGGCGCCGATCTTTATCTCCACACGACGCCCAACCCGCAAAATCAGCACCGCTGCCTTCCGCGCCAAAGACTGCAACGCAAGCATGAACATTCATCTTGATCTCCGCGCATGAAGAGTGTAGATGCATTGCCGCTGCTCACTTCTTTATAAAAAAAAGCAAACTTTTCTGATTGCACACACTCACAAAAATCAAGTAAAAATCATGACGATTCAACGAAGTACTACAGCCTTTGTCAAAACGAACTCCCTTGGAACACGAACCAATATGTGCCACGTGGCAGGTTAACTGCACCGTTTATCGCTCGTTGCGCAAGCGCGCACCACGACGTTAGGCTAACGGCGGGAACTCGTGGCGGGGTGGCAGCGTTGCCATTCCTTCCGACGCTACCAACCATTTGTCAAGAGCGCTGTGATACAAGGTTCTGGTGCCGGAGACTCGATGGATTAATCAAATGAAGTAAATTTCGATTTGCGCAATGCGTAAAGCAAAAAAGTATGCTCGAAAACTCGAGGGACGTCACTACTCACACTGTCACTGATCTGAAAATTACAAATCCCAAGTATGTTACTGTTTTGAGGCTTTTCCCAGCGAGATCCTTCGCTAGCACCCAAGGTTCATTTCCAATTTTGGAACACCAAGCGCAAAGACGAAGATCTTCGGCTGGAAGTTCCCTTTACCTGCGCTGCGTGGTCGTAACCCCAGCAACAGTTCAAGCATGGCTCAGTTCGACGCGTACCGCGCGAAGATGCAGGCTGCTGGCCTGTCGACAGAGGCTATTAAGGCTTTCGAGTTCTCGTACGACGCCCTTGTGAGCGGCGAGACCGGTATGATCGCCGAGAGCTCCATTAAGCCCGCCGACAACCTGCCGTACCTGGAAAACAAGGCCGACAGCATCCGCGAGTCCGTCAAGGCCGATCCATCCCTGCTTAAGGAGACAGTCGTGCTCAAGCTGAACGGCGGTCTGGGTACCAGCATGGGTCTGGACAAGGCTAAGTCGCTGCTGACCGTCAAGGGCGACGATACCTTTCTGGATGTCATGGCCAAGCAGGTGACGGAGCTGCGCGCCACGCATAAGTCCCACGTGCGCTTTGTCCTCATGAACAGCTTCAGTACGAGCGCTGACACCCTCGAATATCTGCAGAAGTACCCGGAGCTTGTTGAGGACGAGACTCTGGAGTTGTTACAGAACAAGGTGCCGAAGGTGAACGCAGCCACTATGGAGCCGGCCTCGTACCCTCCCAACCCCGCTAAAGAGTGGTGCCCGCCTGGACACGGTGACCTGTACGCGTCGCTTGCCGGCTCGGGCAAGCTGGACAAGCTTGTCGCCGACGGCGTCAAGTATATGTTCGTGTCCAACTCGGACAACCTGGGTGCCACTCTTGACTTGGATCTGCTCACGTACTTCGCGCAGTCTGATAAACCATTCCTCATGGAGTGCTGCGAGCGCACGGAGAACGACAAGAAGGGTGGTCACCTGGCTGAGCGCACCGCCGACGGCCGCCTCATCCTCCGTGAGTCTGCCCAATGCGCTGACGAGGACGAGAAGGAGTTTCAGAACATCGAAAAGCACCGTTACTTCAACACGAACAACCTGTGGATCCGTCTGGACAAGCTCCAAGAGGAGCTGAAGAAGCAGGGTGGCGTCATTCGCCTTCCTATGATCAAGAACTCCAAGACCGTGGACCCCAAGGACTCCAGCTCGACCCCAGTGTTTCAGCTGGAGACCGCTATGGGTGCTGCCATCGAGTGCTTCGACGGTGCTGGTGCTGTGTGCGTCCCTCGTACGCGTTTCGCCCCCGTGAAGAAGTGCGATGACCTGATTCTGCTGCGCTCGGATGCCTACGTCATCACTGAGGACTACCGCCCTGTTATCGCCCCCGAGCGTGAGGGTGTGGCCCCCATTGTGTCTCTGGACTCTAAGAACTTCAAGCTGGTGCAGCAGCTTGAGGCTGCTGTGCGTGGCAACGTGCCGTCGCTGATCAAGTGCGACCGCCTGAAGATTACAGGCAACGTTGGCTTCGCTCCTGGTGTTGTGTTTGAGGGATCCGTGGAGGTCGTGAACAAGAACTCTGAGCAGAAGACGGTGCTGCCTGGTACGTACAAGGACACGACGGTGGATTTGACCGAGCAGAAGGGTCTGGGCAAGCTTAAAGTGTCGACGGTCAAGACATCTCCGTTTCCAGACCAGAAGCCCGGTACTTCGGGTCTGCGTAAGAAGACCAAAACGTTCATGAGCGACAGCTACCTGCAGAACTTCGTGGCTTCCGTGTTCGAGGCTCTACCCGCCAAGGACCTGAACGGTGGCACTCTGGTTGTGTCCGGCGATGGCCGTTACTTCAACAAGGAAGCTATTCAAATTATCACCAAGATGGCTGTGGCTTACGGTGTCGACCGTCTGTGGATCGGAAAGGACGGTCTGCTGAGCACCCCGTGTGTGTCGGCTGTTGTGCGTGAGCGCGAGGGAGGCAGCGTCGCCTTCGGCGCCTTCATTCTGTCGGCGAGTCATAACCCTGGTGGCCCGAACGAGGACTTCGGTATCAAGTACAACTGTGAGAATGGTGGCCCTGCCCCCGAGAAGGTGACGAACGAGGTCTTTGATATGTCGAAGGTGATCACATCGTACAAGATCGCCGCGGACTTCCCCACGGTTGACGTGACCAAGATCGGCACGACCACGGTTGACGCTGACGATGGTAGCCGCACGATCACAATTGAGGTATTTGACTCGGCCGAACACCACGTGGACTTGCTGAAACGCATTTTCGACTTCCACGCCATCAAGAAGTTGGTGTCTCGCTCGGACTTTACGTTCGTGGTCGACGCCATGTCGGGTGTGAATGGTCCGTACGCTCGCCGCGTATTTGTGGAGGAGTTGGGCTGTGACGAAGCGTGTCTGTTGAACGCCACTCCTTTGGAGGACTTCGGCGGAGGCCACGCCGACCCGAACCTGACTTACGCCAAGACCTTAATCAAGGCCATGGGTGTGGACGCCAAGGGCCTGCCCGTGACTGGTCAGGAGCAGGAGCCACCTGCATTCGGTGCTGCCTGGGATGGCGATGCTGACCGTAACATGATACTGGGCGCACGCTTCTTCGTGACGCCTTCGGACTCTCTTGCCATCATCGCTGCTAACTGCACGGTCATTCCGTTCTTTAAGAATGGCCTGCGTGGTGTGGCTCGTTCAATGCCCACCAGCGGTGCCGTAGACCTTGTGGCTAAGAAGCTGGACGTGCCTTTCTTTGAGGTTCCGACTGGCTGGAAGTTCTTCGGCAACCTGATGGACTCGCACGTCGTGTTCGGCAAGGAGGATTACACCCCGTTCATCTGCGGTGAGGAGAGCTTCGGTACAGGCTCGAACCACATCCGCGAGAAGGACGGTATGTGGGCTGTGCTGGCCTGGCTTTCGATCCTGGCCTCAAAGCAGGTGGAGGGTGCCCCGCTTGTGACAGTGGAGGACGTTGTTCGCGACCACTGGAAGAAGTTTGGCCGCAATTATTACTGCCGTTACGATTACGAGAACGTGGACAAGGCCGCTGCCGAAAGTATGTTCGCCGTTATGACCAAATTTGACGGTGTTGTAGGCAAGGAGATCAACGGCTTTAAGGTAGAGAAAGCCGACGAATTCGAGTACGTGGACCCAGTGGATGGTAGTGTGTCATCGCACCAGGGTATCCGTTTCCTGTTCGAGGGAGGCTCGCGTGTCGTGTTTCGCCTGTCGGGCACGGGCGTTGCTGGCGCGACCATCCGTATGTACATTGAGAAGTACGAGGAGCCGACAGGCAACCTGGACCAGAACGCCTCTGAAGGACTGGAGAAGCTGATTGAGGTGGGTCTGAAGCTGTCTGACTTGGAGAAGAAGACCGGTCGCAAGGCCCCTACGGTCATCACGTAGGGGGTCGCGTCTTCTTCGGCTCGGCAAGCAACTTCAGCTGAGCGGTGGTGTTGATAGCATCATCTGCTTTCTATGCCCCTGTGTGCCACACAGTGTGGTGGTTGGACTCGACTCTTGATTCATCTTGCATGTCCCAGTTGCTGCTAGTAGTATGTACTACAGTAGTAGTAAGCACCATCGAGCAGTAGCAAAATTAACAAAAATTTGCAAGGAAACTTGTGCCATGTGTTGATCAATTAAAGTTCTACTGCTGTAGTACTACGAAAATTTACTCGCTTTGTTGCTGATGCGATATTGGTCACGCTTGTTGAGCCTTCTAAACAGCCGAAACTCAGCTGGAAGCTGCGCTTCAGAAAACATTTGCTCTGCAAAGTAGATCCGGCGCACTCGACAACTCGCGTGGAGCTGTACGCTGATCGCATGTGCGTATCGGGCGTTGTAGCAAGTGCGCGATAGCTCGCCCAGGTCCAAGTGCAGTTGGTTCCAGCCGCTGTCCAAGTGTAGCGGCAGCAGGGCAAGTTGAGAATGCACGGCACTACTCTTCTGGAACGTAGAGAAGCGAAAGCGTCTTCTTATGTTGCGATCGTCGGCCACGTGAACCTCCAGCGACACGTGCTGGTCGAGGTTTTTGAGCACCAGAATCAGGTGCCGCAATCGAATATGCAACGCTGATGCCAACAGCGACTCTTGTTGCTGCTCATGTGCACCAAAAGGGATCCGAAGCCAAGTATGCGCAATGTTACCAGCTAAAAGCTCCACGACAGATGACTGCACATCTTCATCGAGCACGCGTCGTATACTTCCACGGTCCTCGCGTCTCGCACAGCTGTAGCGGTCGCGGACTACGGTGGATGCAACAGTGCTGTCATGGTTAGTCCGCGCAGTCGAAAGCTGCCTCTTCCCGCACAAGCACGCACCCGACGCTGTAGAGCAGCGAGATGAAGCCCGACTGATACACCTGCTCCAACATGTACAAGCTATTCACAGATCGTAAGAACTGAGCTTGAAAATCTTGTAACTAAATAAAAAGCGATCGGCTGCCGATTTTTTCTGCTCTTGAAAAAATGAAGTCAAACAAATTGTCGGTATCCAAGCGCCACACCAATTTATACTTATAAACCTATCTAAATTCATACTAACCCCTCTGATAGGCTGTATCTGAAGAAAGATCTCAAATTACAGCGACGGACAGAATGTAACTGCCACGAATGGTTTGAGTTTTTAAGAACAAAAAGGACCTGCACATGATAGAACGGCCATATACAATATTCAGCACTGATTGGATAAACATTTACCATGAAGAATTGCCATAATAATATTATCCTACCATTTGTAAGAAATTGTTTGATTGCGTTTAATTGTGATACCTGATTTGCTGAAACCCAAGTACAGTACTGCACCCCGTTTTCGCGCCCTTGGACCTTTGATAAACTTCCGGATGTCATGATCCTGAATCCAAATGAGCTATAATTTGTAAGCTAAAATCTAGTTTATTTGCAAATCCTATATGGTCCACCCCCGCGAAAACGGGGTGCAGTACTGTATTTGCTGTTCTTTTATGAAGATGTGCACGCTCCTCCCATCCTTGTTTATTGCTCTTATCTTTGGCAATGGCAGTTAATTTGGCGGCAGTTACATTCTGTCCGTCGATGTAGTGTCGACACCAGGCGCGACGTGAGGGCTCAGGCTGAGGCCCTGCGCCGCATAGCCGGAGGCCAGGTTATCCACACATTCGGCCTTAACCTAGAACTTCCCCTGGAATAGTTTCTACACGAGTCCGGTGGAGTAGTCTGAGACCGTTAGTTCTATCCTTACTACCCGCTACGGCGGACGTCACGCCAACGCGCTTTTTCACGTTGGCAGTCGACGCTGCGCCCATGAACTGTTCGCCTTGCAGTCGACGCCGCGCTCACGAGCTTCCCCATAGCCGTAGGAAATCGCTATCAATGGTAGTAAAGCTGATATCTGTGGATTAGTGCTATACGAGTGCTGTAACGTTGCTGCACTCATAGCCGGAGTCCAGGTCATCCACACAGCTCTATCCTTACTACCCGCTACGGCGGACGTCACGCCTACGCGCTTTTCCACCTTAGCGGGCGACGCTGCGCCCATGAACTGTTCGCCTTGCAGTCGACGCCGCGCTCACGAGCTTCCCCATTGCCGTAGGAAATCGCTATCAATGGTAGTAAAGCTGATGAGCGGGGCGTCATGCTCACGTGGAAGTGCTAAAGCACCGCTTCGCATACAGAGGGCGTCGGGGTACAGGATTATGGCGAGGACACGTAATGGCTAAGAAAACATGAACGGAAGGTCCAACTTGTGACGAGTACACTAGGAGACCCAGGGCCTGGTCATGGGGGCCGCTAGTACCTCATGAACCAAGAGGCTTTGCCCTTCTTCCGTTCCAGTGCTTCCGTGTCGCGAGCCTGTGTGTGTACTGAAAAGACCGCTGCAGCCGCTGTAGTGTAATGGTTATGAAGATCGACGCTGTACTACTACAGCTGAATCTTGCTATCTGTAGGCGCTCTCTGTTGGTCCTTATACCCCCCCAACGACACGGTGGTGCTTCCGAGCGCAGACAGCCGTCGTAGGCGCCTTTCGTGCCCACAGCAACTTCCTCCTTCTCTGCATCATTTCTCAAATAAACTTTCGCTCTTTAAAAAAGAGGCAATCTCGGCACCTCGTTTTTCATAGGGGAAAAATAGATAAGAAAAAATGTTTGATTCTCTATTTTTGGACAAGGCTCTTACCAAACCTGGGTGCCGCCTTTTGAACGCTGTACCAAAAACTATTATTATAGTAGCCAGTAGTTTGGCGATTTCCATTTCTACTATTACTGCAGTAGCCAGTTGAAGCTCGGATAGTACTATTGAGCTACTAGTAAAATTAAGAAACATACGATTACATGTATATCCATTTAGACCCACCGCTATGGATTGTAAGCAAAATGCAAGGCGGCTTGATCACTGATCACTCAGTCTATCCTGCAAATTTCCGCTATCTACACTACAAAGTCGTGCTTCGCCCGAAGAAGCTCTGAAAGTTATCTTCGTTTTATTCGTTTTCAATGCTAACGATTCCCTACCCATTAGGTAGATTAACGCTGTGAAGGTTGGGATTTCCTGAAGTGATGCATATCCTGCCTTGCTGAATCAGCCCTTCCGTTCTACTACAGTAGAGAGCTGTAGTTCCTGGAGTTGGAGCAAGGAATATATAAAAATCAAGCCAGAATTAGATCTCCGTGTGAATATTTTTAGATGCTCCAATACTAATTAATAGAGAGCTGTAGTCGCTGGGGTTAAAGTAAGGAATGTCTAACCAAAATTTCGCATTAGCCAGAAATAGATTACCGTGTGGACATTTTTGAGATGCTCCAATGCTGACCTCCATTGGAGTTTTTAGGGGTCGCTCTAGCTCCACAAAGTTAGTTGTTTTGCAATACTTCTTAACCCTCGATTAGCTCCATAACCTCGGATTGGTTCAGAAACCACAGTTCTCTGATAACTACAATGGGGCTATAGGAGGTCGCTTTTGCTCCAAGGAGGAGCAATGCTCCATGGCCGGTGATGGAGAGTAGTCAGCCTTAGCACACGCAAAGGCAACGACCAACCGGTGGGTACGCGTGGCGAGAACGGCAGTGTCTGATTCGGGTTTGAAACAACCGTTCCTGCGTGGTAAAGGTCTTTGAAGGTGCTGGATGCAATGTTGAACGCGGCAATGCGCGTGGCCTTGATGTGGTGCGCGTGGCCTTGATGTGGTGCGCTTGGTTGTGTGTGAGTATGCATTTGTTTGGCCTTTTGTTTGGCGTTTGTTTTGGTTAATAGAAGGTGCTCCCAAATCATCTAGGCGGCTAGGATACGTGGCTTTCACCCACGCGACCCGGGTTCTAGTCCCGGTTTGAGAATTTTGCTTTTTCAATTCTTTGTTCCGTCATGTATTTAGCGCTCGTTGTGCTTGCTAGTACGACGTTCGGATGGCAGTATTGCCGGTGATGGAGAGTGGTTCGGCTTAGCACTCGCAGGGTCAACGACCAGCCGGTGGGTAAGCGTGGCGAGAACGGCGGTGTCTAATTCAGGTTTAAAACAACAGCTCCTGCGTGGTAAAGGTCTTTGAAGGTGCTGGATGCAATGTTGAACGCGGCAATGCGCGTGGCCTTGATGTGGTGCGCGTGGCCTTGATGTGGTGCGCTTGGTTGTGTGTGAGTATGCATTTGTTTGGCCTTTTGTTTGGCGTTTGTTTTGGTTAATAGAAGGTGCTCCCAAATCATCTAGGCGGCTAGGATACGTGGCTTTCACCCACGCGACCCGGGTTCTAGTCCCGGTTTGGGAATTTTGCTTTTTCAATTCTTTGTTCCGTCATGTATTTAGCGCTCGTTGAGCTTGCTGGTACGACGTTCGGATGACTGTATGGCCGGTGATGGAGAGTAGCTCGGCTTAGCACTCGCAGGGGCAACGACCAGCCGGTGGGTAAGCGTGGCGAGAACGGCGGTATCTAATTCAGGTTTAAAACAACAGCTCCTGCGTGGTAAAGGTCTTTGAAGGTGCTGGATGCAATGTTGAAGGCGGCAATGCGCGTGGCCTTGATGTGGTGCGCTTGGTTGTGTGTGAGTACCCATTTGTTTGGCCTTTTGTTTGTCGTTTGTTTTGGTTAATAGAAGGTGCTCCCAAATAGTCTAGGCGGTTAGGATACGTGGCTGTTACCCACGCGACCCGGGTTCGAGTCCCGGTTTGGGAATTTTGCTTTGCTTTTTCAATTCTTCGTTCCGCCATGTATATAGCGCTCGTTGTACGACGTTCGGATGACTGTATGGCCGGTGATGGAGAGTAGTTCGGCTTAGCACTCGCAGGGTCAACGACCAGCCGGTGGGTAAGCGTGGCGAGAACGGCAGTGTCTGATTCAGGTTTAAAACAACAGCTCCTGCGTGGTAAAGGTCTTTGAAGGTGCTAAATGCAAAGTTGAAGGCGGCAATGCGCGTGGCCTTGATGTGGTGCGCGTGGCCTTGATGTGGTGCGCTTGGTTGTGTGTGAGTATGCATTTGTTTGGCCTTTTGTTTGGCGTTTGTTTTGGTTAATAGAAGGTGCTCCCAAATCATCTAGGCGGCTAGGATATGTGGCTTTCACCCACGCGACCCGGGTTCATGTCCCGGTTTGGGAATTTAGCTTTTTCAATTCTTTGTTCCGTCATGTATTTAGCGCTCGTTGAGCTTGCTGGTACGACGTTCGGATGACTGTATGGCCGGTGATGGAGAGTGGTTCGGCTTAGCACTCGCAGGGTCAACGACCAGCCGGTGGGTAAGCGTGGCGAGAACGGCGGTGTCTAATTCAGGTTTAAAACAACAGCTCCTGCGTGGTAAAGGTCTTTGAAGGTGCTGGATGCAATGTTGAACGCGGCAATGCGCGTGGCCTTGATGTGGTGCGCGTGGCCTTGATGTGGTGCGCTTGGTTGTGTGTGAGTATGCATTTGTTTGGCCTTTTGTTTGGCGTTTGTTTTGGTTAATAGAAGGTGCTCCCAAATAGTCTAGGCGGTTAGGATACGTGGCTGTTACCCACGCGACCCGGGTTCGAGTCCCGGTTTGAGAATTTTGCTTTGCTTTTTCAATTCTTCGTTCCGCCATGTATATAGCGCTCGTTGTGCTTGCTGGTACGACGTTCGGATGACTGTATGGCCGGTGATGGAGAGTAGCTCGGCTTAGCACTCGCAGGGGCAACGACCAGCCGGAGGGTAAGCGTGGCGAGAACGGCGGTATCTAATTCAGGTTTAAAACAACAGCTCCTGCGTGGAAAAGGTATTTGAAGGTGCTGGATGCAAAGTTGAAGGCGGCAATGCGCGTGGCCTTGGTGTGATGCGCTTGGTTGTGTGTGAGTATGCGTGTGTTTGGCCTTTTGTTTGGCGTTTGTTTTGGTTTATAGAAGGTGCTCCCAAATAGTTTAGGCGGTTAGGATACGTTGGTTTCACCCACGCGACCCGGGT